CTCTAATACTTCATCTACCACTTCTCCTCCAGCAAACTAGAGGCCTATCACCCAAGAGTAGTACGATCAGATTTTAAAACTTTTGCATAGGGAACATGATGATATAGCAATGGGCACCGCTGACTACCTGGAGGAAACAATTTCAGGTATCGTGCTTGCCATCCCAAAGTCCTTTTGTGAATCTAATTGGATTCTTGATTTCGGTGCAACATGTCATGTAGTGAATAGCCTAAGTATGTCTGACACTGTAGATAAGTATTCAAGCCCTATACGAGTAATTAAGGTTCCATATGGTGACAGGATGTTAATCACTCACGTAGGCACTGTTAAGATACTTGATAATGTTGTTCTAAAGGATGTCTATTATGCTGTTGGCTGCTGTTATATCCTTATCTCTGTATCTAAGTTGACAACCAGTAAAGAGTTTGTAGCTTCCTTTTACTCTAATCATTGTACACTGCAGGACATCTCAACTGGGAAAACAAGGAAGATTGGTAGTCTCTATGGCAATCTGTATATCATTGAAAAAGTTAACAAGATGGATAGTCTGATGCATGTTTCCACTAAACAATTACTTGGCATAATAGATTGGGTCATGTTCCTATGAATAAGTTTAGGTATCTAGAACTGATTCGAATGGAAGTCCCTGTTATTTCTGCTGAAAAATGTATTGTTTGTTCCCGTGCAAAACAAACTCGCCTACCTTTTCCTTCTAGTACTTCTAAGACACATAGTAGTTTTGAGTTGGTTCATGTAGATGTTTGGGGACCTTATAGGATCCTAACTTATAAAGGTCATCATTATTTCTTGACTGTTGTGGATGATTTTTCACGTTGTACTTGGACCTTTTTTATGATCAATAAAAATGAGGTTGTTCTCCATTTAAAGAATTTTTTTTATTTATGTTTATACTCAATTCTCTTCTGTTGTTAAGAAAGTAAGAACAAACAATGGTTTGGAGTTTGTTAATATTGAATTAAAGTCTCATTTCACTAGTAAAGGTATAGTTCATGAAACCTCATGCCCCTACACACCACAACAAAATGGGGTAGTGGGAAGAAAACATCGTCACCTATTAGAGGTTGCCAGGAGTCTTATTTTTCAATCTCATATTCCCTTGAAATTTTGGGGGGAAGCCATACGCACAGCAACCTACTTGATCAATAGGACTCCCTCTTCAATATTAGCAAACAGAACCCCTTATGAAGTTTTGTATCATTGTCAACCAGATTTATCTTCTTTAAGAGTATTTGGATGCCTAGCTTTTGCTACAATTTTGCAACCTCATGATAAATTTCAACATCGATCATATCCCTGTGTTTTTATTGGGTACCCCACTAATCAAAAGGGTTACTTGTTATATACCCTTCAATCCAAAACTATCCATATTAGTAGGGATGTCATTTTTGAGGAATCCCGGTTCCCTTTTAAAGATGCAGTAGGTCTCAATCAAGGGGGAGATAGTGATATGCAAATGATTGATCCCTTCAGCAACACAAGTAGAAGTTATGATGCTGAACCCACACCCCCACCATTAATTAAGACCAATAATCATAGTAGGTATCCAGAAACACTACAGGAGACTGGAGATCCCATGGATACAAAAGCTCTACACCTATCTAAGAGACCAAATAGAGAGAAAAGGGGACCCAATTGGATGAGAGACTATGTTTGCCATGCTAACAAACTTTAAATCATTAGTAGGATATGCTTGCGTTATGGATACAGATCATACAGCAGTGACAACTACAAAAACGGTAAGGTATCCCATGCAATCATATTTGTCTTATTCACATATATCACAAGAATATAAACATGTTTTGTCTAGTCTTGACAGCATTACAGAACCATCCAGCTTTGAGCAAGCCACCAAGGATCCTAGGTGGATTGATGCAATGAAAGCAGAAATAAGGGCCTTAGAAGATAATGGTACTTCGGAAATTGTAGATCTACCCAAAGGTAAGAGACCCATTGGATGTAAGTGGGTCAAAAGGTAAAGTATAATTCAAATAGTGAGGTAGATTGGTTTAAGGCAAGATTAGTTGCAAAGGGGTATAGTCAACAAGAAGCGATTAACTATTTTGAGACTTGTTCTCCTATGGTAAAAATGGTTACAGTACGAATTGTTCTTAATATTGCTGTTAAAAATGGTTGGAACCTCTTTCAAATGGATGTTCATAATGCTTTCCTTCAAGGAGACTAGAGGGAAGAGGTATACATGAAAATTCCACAAGGATTTGGTCAATATGGAAAGAACAAAGTTTGCAGATTGACTAAATCCTTATATGGTTTAAAGCAAGACTCTAGGCAATGGATGCTAAACTTAGTGAAGCCCTTTTGCAAGCTGGTTTTAGGCAAAGCATGTATGATTACTCATTGTTTATAAGGCAAACTTGTTCTGAAATGACTTTAATTTTAGTTTATGTGGATGATCTTGTAATCACATAGGAAACCAAACAAACAAGATTGATGAAGTAAAGGAATTCTTACATAATAGATTCAAAATTAAGGATTTGGGTCAACTCAAGTATTTCTTAGGAATAGAAGTAGTTAGATCAAAACATGGAATCATACTTAATCAAAGAAAGTATACATTGGACATTTTGATTGATATGGGTTTAATTGCAGCGAAGCCACTTGGTATGCCTATTGAACAGAATATAAGGCTCAATGGGAAACCAAAACATGAGAAAGAGGATCCTTTGATCACAGATCCAACCACATACATGCAGTTAATTGGTAAGCTATCATACCTTACTGTGACTAGGCCTGATATTAGTTTTGCTGTGCAGGGACTGAGTCAATTCATGAATGCACCAAGGAAATCACACTACAAGGCAGCGACAATAGTGGCTAGATATTTAAAGGGCTGTCCAGGACTTGGAGTTAAGCTTGCAGCGACTCAGGATATTTAGTTGGAGTGCTTTGTAGATGCTGCTTGGGGAACATGTCCTGACACTAGAAGGTCCGTGACTGGTTACATAGTTAAGTTTGGAGGGTCACCAATATCCTAGAAGTCAAAGGAACAGAGCACGGTTTCAAAATCATCTACAAAAGTAGAGTACAGAGCCTTAAGCAATGCTGTATCAAAGGTGGTGTGGATCAAACGGTTACTAGAAGACCTTGGAATGACTGATTTGAAACTTGTACATGTTTACTCTGATAGTAAATCAGCCATTTGTATCGGAAATCATCCTGTTGTATCATGAAAAACAAAGCATATAGAAATAGACTGTTATTTTATTAGAGAGAAATTACAGCAGGGAGTTATAAGTCTTAGTCATGTAAAAAGTAAGGAACAGTAAGGTGATATATTCACCAAAGAGTTGGGTAAGTAGGATTCATGACAGAATTTTGAGCAAGTTAGGAGTTGTAAACCTCTATGCACCCCAAACTTAAAGGGGAGTGTTAAGAGGTGTCATGCTCAATTTAGTAGTTGGGCCAGCGTCTGTTAGATTTGGGCCCTATTACCTATAAATAGGAGTTGTTGGATCTGTTATTGTGTGTGTAACTTATGGCCATGTGGCCCCTGATCAATAATATATCCCAAGTGTTATTCAGTATATGGTTCTTTTCAAAAGTAAAGGCACAAGAGTACAAATTATAAGGTAAGAACTTCCCATTCTTGCTGCTATTTTTCAATATTGTATGTATAAAGTACAAAGTTTGTGATGAGAATTTGCAGAACGCCGCCAGTTATGCACTGCAAATTATATTCACATTTTGGCAAGCTTATGGTCCTGGTTTTGTAGGAAATTTATGTCGAATTTTTGTTAAGATTAATGGCGAGGGTATTCATGGGATTAAATTAATCATATACTACTTCTGGTAAATTAATATAACAGTTAGATAACTAATTTGTAAATATTAAAAAAATTAGTTAAGTTAGTTATTTATAATAAATGTGTAATTTTTTCTAAAACACTCTTGTTAGATATGGGGAGTTTTTTGGAGAAAAATAAACAAATATGAGGAGCAAATACTCTAGATAACTAATTTTTAAATATTAAAAAAATTAGTCAAGTTAGTTATTTATAATAAATGTGTAGTTTTTTTATCTAAAATACTCTTGTTAGATATGAGGATTTCTTTGAAGAAAAATAAATAAATATAAAAAAAATTAAAATCTTATAGTTAGAATGAAAGTAAATCTCCAACGCCTTTATATTTAAATATTTGATAAATCGGCCAATTATGATTTTGAGACGAGGATCATACTACGCTTCAAACTTCCGGTTTTGAGTGTGTTGTTGTCGACACTAGTACTGTTGTAAACCACAAAGTACCCAAGGTTGGGGGTGTGTACATTGATTGGTTGATTGATGTTAAATTTTTTTTTAGTGTAATTGATTGATGTTAAATTGATATTGTACCAATGAGGTTGTAGTATCAGCAGTTTGCATTGCATATCTGACAAAATCGCCTATGACTAATGTCATGTTTCCTTAATGCTTCCTCAATAATACGTACGATTACCTTTTTTATCCTCAGCTCACGGTCACCATTATAATTCTGAGGTCTCTCTACAGCTTTTTAAAAATAAAATAGGTCAGAAAAGGTCGGCTCGTGACAATGACATATCAGCAGTAATATCTGAATAATGAAGTAATGTCGTGATTGCTAAAAATGCTTAGTCTAATATCCATTCTATCTACATCTGAATAATGAAGTAATGTCAAGATTGCCAAAAAGCACAAGTTAATATCCAATCTATGATAATATACACTAAATTTGCAGGAAGCCACCAAACCATTTACTGCTTACAAGGTCAAACATCGGCTCTGCTTTAGCCTTGGGTCACGTAATTTCACATATTTCTCACCATGCAACCCAATGGTCAAAATGTCTAGTTACATCTAATTTGATTGCAAAAGAAACTTGTGATCTTTCTTCAGTATCCTCAGTTCTCTAACCAATGCCTATATAAGGCCGTAGTTCTCGAGTGTTTTGGTTGTTTACAAGTTTCAGAGGCTGATCAGTTAGTGCTGTCCAGCATGCTCCTTCAACTTCTCTTCATGTTGCAATTTAACTGAACAGATACATGAGCTTCGGATTTTCCGATTCCCTTTCTCTGACCTTAAACCTTGTTTGAGTTTCCACATTGCCGATTGGTTTGGTTATTTGTCTTGGCAGACAAGATTCCCAGGGAAGAACAGCCAACAAGCTCTGACTTCCCTAATAATAAACAGATCTATAACATTAACATTTTCATCAACTTCACACCCATCTCCATAGCAGATTCAAGTCTTTATTTTTCTTGGACCGGAGACTCAAGTCTATAATTAGATATGCCATTCGACATCAACAATCCATAGTAAATCTCAGCAGTTAGTTTATGCTTTCATAAGGAAATATTTCTCCCCTACTTACATCAGCTTGACATTACCTTAGTCAGAAAAGAGTCAAATGCTAGATCTTCGTTGGATGAGATACTTATCCAATATCATCTTTAGGTCCTCCAACAGCTATATCTGACTTTGTTATGACGATCTTCAGGCTGCAACATGATGGGAGGCTTGCAAGTAGAATAATCAACAATGTCCTAGGATCCAAAGAGCAAAGTCAAAACGAGCATATGGAAATTCTAAACATCTACAAGTCAATATCAAACACTATTCTAATGTGCATCACACTTAAGCTTGTCCTGCCTCATCATTCTCGGAGCCCATGTGACAGCATATCATTTAAACTTGGAAATATGCCGAATGTCATGCTGCCCGTACAGGGATAAAGTGCTAACATTTTATTTTGGAACTTCCAATACAAGGTTTGACAGACCCCTACAGTATTCCACGGTATCATTCAAATCTAACTCCTATCATAATCGTTGATACACTTCAAAATCATTGTGATTAATGAAAGAAATTTGCGAGATCATGGCCATTATGAACTGCCATAACAGTCACGTTCATTGAAATAACACTGTACTATTCATCCCAGTCTAAGTAGTGGCAGAAACATGTCCTAATTTATATGAAACAATGTCATGAGTACCTCAAAAAGTTCATTTATATTATCTGCGGTCTTTGCAGATGTCTCGATAAAGAACATTCCATTCTTCTCTGCATACTCCAGGGCATCCTTCACAGAAATATTCAAGCATCATCTATGAGAATGACGAGTTGTTATTTATTTATAAAAAAAAGCCATAGCAACATTCAGCCATGAAGCACTACCTGGACAGGCACCTCCCGTTTCTCTTGAAGATCGGCTTTATTACCAACTAAGGCCATAATTATATCAGGGCTCCCATGCTTTTGTAACTCCTGAAAAAACGACTACATCTATCAAATGCTTAACCGAATTTAAAATACGAGAGTGGGGAGGGACCTTAAAGCCGTCTAATTGAAAGGATATACGCCAATAATAACCTCATGAAATTGAATTATCAGCTAGTAACTTTAATCTTTGGACAGTTTTGCCCTGTGTTTAAGGCTGCTGCAGCTTCACGACACATGTCAGTCCCTCATTTCCCAATTCAAAGTGAATTTGTGAACATCCATTTATCTGTTTACTAGCTTCCAACTGCCATGATTGTGGCAAAAATGCACTTTGGGCCTTTTAACTTTACCTAAGATTTGAACTTTATCTCTTACTCGACTTCGACATTTAAAATCTCTTTTCTGGATATTCTATTTTAATTTTAATGGAATATTTTTCCAATTCAATCTTTTTATTTATTTTGATTGCGGTCCTCCAACCCTTGGTCTTGAATGATGGTTTTTTATGTCAATCACTGCTATTTAAAAAAAAAAATCAAACATTAATGTGTTAACATTTGTGAATGTTTTGCACATTTAAAATTTCAATGTTGGCATTTTTTGTTAATGAAACCAACAGTATTGAGTTTACAGGACAAAAAACCACTTTGCAAAAAAAAAAGGGAATGAAAATGAAAACTCCTATGAAATTAAAGGACTCAATGTGCACTTCTGTCTTAATAACCAAGGAAGCGGCCAATAAAAGAATTGAATTTTACCCCTTCATTGAACAGCTCCCCACTAAAATCTAGAGGATTGTTATTCATAGCATTGATAATTATACGAGACAAAGAAATGGAAATACAGAGCCATCCAGTTACAACGATTCTACCTTAACCCAGTACTGTGCTTTGTAGAAAGATTCTGGTCTTGTTATGTCGTAGACAATAACCGCAACTGCTGCGCCGCGATAATATAACGGTGCCAGCGCAGCATACCTGAAAAGGATGCAATTAATTTTTGTCCCGAATATATTTGTTTGAATAAGAAGTTGGATAATAAATGAGAAACAGACTACAAAGTTGAGCTCTCCTGATGGCTTGTAGAATACTCCAGTTCTTAATATAAGACATATTTAACTAATTTGATTCGATTAAGGAAGTTAGGTAAGTTAGTTAATTATAAGAAATATGACATGTTTTTCTTAAAACACCATAATCATTTTTCTTAATATCCTCCTTCCCTCACTTACTTGATTATGATCGAGGGAGTATCCTTAGGGATAATTTAGGAAAAATTAATAAATATGATAAATAGTTTTATATTTAAGACTAAAATTAACTTAACAATTAGGTCATATATTAAGGACCGGAGAGTACTACAATATATGGAAACTGCGAAGTCAAACAAAAATACCTTTCTTGACCAGCAGTATCCCATATTTCAAACCTGACTGTTGTAGAGTCTTGCAAAGCTATTGTTTGTGACAAAAACGAAGCTCCCACAGTTACCTTTCATTACAAAGAATAAAAGTGAGTTACCTAGCAATCAAAATGTTTATACATATACAAATCTGCTGGAACCTTTTGGTTTTTGGTGCCCCCCGGGAGAGCAAAAACTTTCTAAATGTCAGGATTTGCATGATCTCCAAAAGTAAATTCACTTTTACCCTTGGCCCATTTCTGCTCTAACTACCCTTCCAACCTCCTTTTACCCTCCAAAATAGGTTACATACTAAATAGCTTTACAGCTGAGACTAGACCAGACAATGGGGGCACAATCGTCTACCACATGTAGCGCAGTGGCTTGAATTTGAGAAGACACTAAGTAGCAGCTTAGCATTTTCCCTTCTTCCTAGGCCATGTTGTACAAGAGTTACATGAAACAGTCGGGGAAGGTACAGTTATTGCTCCAACTAGAGGTATCAAGTGAGAGAGCCTAAAACAGTAAAACCTTAAGGGAGGTAAGATAATTTACCCTTAGAAAAGCTTACGGGTAAAAAAAGATGCAAGAAAAGTAAAACAGGACTTACCTTGGATGCTGGATCAAACTGACCCCGAACAAATCGAAGAACGATACAGCTTTTACCAACACCAGAATCACCTAACAGAACAAGCTGCGTTCAATTGGCATTTAAAATGTTAGTCTCTGTATAAAAGGCAAGTTGAACATGGTACTTGTATCTTAACCGAATTTTATTAAGACTATTTCAATCAATCCCCGCTGACCCTCCAAGAACTTGATGAGCGGTAGATTATGCAGAAATGTACTCGTGTGCTCTATCTATGAATTCTTTTAAAAACATGATCACGCTTTGATATCAATTTTTTTTTATATTTCTCTTTTATGGCTATAAAAGAGAGTATTCTTATTACATTTTTCATGTTTTTCTTTTCCCTCTTCATTTTTAGAACTGAATCGCTAAATTCAATTTAAACTGAACTACCAATGGAGTCAGCTCAATTATACTCTGTAAAAAAAAAGTTTACAAATGGCATTGAACAAATACGCTACTTTTCAAATATCAGCCTTCAAAATATGATTGCAATAACCAACGCTATAAAAGTACAATAATTTTGGCTCAATATGAAACAAACTGAAAACAAAATTCAGGAAATTTACAGTTTTCTGGAAAAAGGGTCAATTTTCCTCTCCTAACAATTAATGGAGTAGATTGTTCATTATTCCCTTCCGAAAATGTCAAATGATCATGTTTGTACATGGAAACAAGCAACTCGCTGGCATAAAACTCTGCCTATGAAGTACCTTCACACGTAGATTCTTGGAGTCCTGACCTTCATGATTCTCTAAATTGGCTATTCCAAGCCTTCTTGGATTTCTATCTGGAAAAAACATCAAAATAACCCATAATCGCAACAAAGCTATAAATTAACAAACAAATAATGAAATGAAAAACTAACAAATGAGGAAACTCTGCAAATTCACAACTCAAGAAGAAACAAAAATAATCCATGATTAGTCTAAGATTCAATCCCGGGATTCTGTCAAATGTTAGACATAACAACAGAAATCTGTCAAGAATTTTCTTTTAAAATCCGGATGCATTAAGAAAACTCGAGGTTGGAAATTTACCTGGTAGGGATGACGTGCAACCCATAATAGAGAATTTCGAACTGTAGTTATATGAATATGAACGTAATATGGGGTTCACAAAAGAAAGGGATCCAATACCCAGCAATCTATTGACGCTGATGGATGATTTTGGCCTTCAGCGTAATGATTGGTACAGATTAAACTTATTTGTTTACACAGGAATTGAATTGTGCCAACCAAGCACGAGAGAGTTGAGCGCGCATGTGGAAACTTATGGAAATTCCCTTCTCTTTTCACACAAATATTAGAAAATTATGCATGAGCATAATTTCTGTGAGTTTTGAGAGATGAGGATTTCTGCGTCTGATATATCCGTAATCTTCATCTTTGTATTATTTCCTTTAAATTTCACTTTAGCTAAATTATGTTAATTAAACTTGATTAAAATTCCTTATAAATTTAGTATTGCATCAAACCAATCAACTATTCTCCCCCAAAAACAAAACTGTATTTACTCATGTTTATTATATTTCAAAAATATTCTGAAGTATTATGAAATGATTTTTTTATACAATATATGGGATATATAATAGCATAAAAAATCCTGAGGTGAGAGAGATATTAATTCAATCAAAATTTTAAAAGAGAAAATATAAAGTTAATATAACAATAATGAAATAAAAAGGTTTTTTTTTTTTGGGTAACGATGGGAAAGAAGGTCTACAAAAGGCCAATGCAAATTATATTGATAATGTGACTTATGAACAGTGATATTGTAAATTGCAGAAAATATAAAGTTGACTCAACTTAAATTCTATGTGAATGCACACAACCCAATTGAGGGAAGTTATATTGTTCGTGCTTTTGCGGATATTTAATATGAGATTTTTCTAACTATTTTATAAAAATAAAGAAAAGTACCTATGTTGTATCATTAAAATCATAAAAATTTATGGCAAAAAAAAAATTAAAATCATAAAAATTATTACGACTTTTTTGCCAACGTAAAAATTATCACTACTACTCTTTAATATTACCCTGAATTAAAATCAGCCAATCTTGATGATATTTAATTTCTTTCTTATAAAATCTCTTTTCACAATATAATTAATAAAATCATTTATGAAAAAAAATTAATGCCATTGATTTTCCTGCAAAATATCTTATATAGAATGTAGAAAATTTTCAGAAAATACTGCAGGTGTTTAATATAAGAACCAAATGATTAATTTACAAATATAAAAAAATTAGTTAAGTTGGTTATTTATAATAAATATGTGTTGACTTTTCTAACCTACTCTATTTAATAATGTATATTAGAACTCCCTTTTGGTGTAAACTTTCTTAACATGTACAATTAATAAGAATATTTGAGGAAAAAATTACAAATTTAGGAAACAAAGTGCATTATGGTACTACCTGTCTACCTCCTATCCTTAATATAAGAGTTATTCTAAATATAAAATCTCAATCTATTTTATTTCTCATATTTATCTATTTTTTTCAAGGTAGTTCTTATAATAGTTGTACTACTCCGTCCCTTATTATAAGATCTAATTTTTTGAATGACTTTATCCCTTTTTATAAGATCCTCTTTAAGTTTGTCTAGGTATTTAATGTATTATTACCTATTTTACCTCTAATTTAATGCATTTAATAATTTTTTTCTTTATTTATTTCACTATTACTCCTCACATTTACCCATTTATATATAGGGGTATATTTGGGAAAAAATTACATTTGTCACATATTAATTGGTTTTAACTAATTTTAACTGTTTTCTTAAACTGCACAATTTAATTAAAAAAATCTTATAATAAGGGACGGAGGGAGTATATATTGAATGTTTCATCAAATGACACTTGATTAGCAAAGATATTTTAAAAAACAACACATATTTATTACAAATAACTAACTAAACTAATTTTCTTAATCTATTTAAATTAGTCAATTAATTTTTATATTAAAAAGCAAAGATAATGTTATATTTAGAATACTATCTCTTAGGAGAAGAGGCTAAGAATAAGAAGCAGATAGATGATATAGATGTTGTATTTGTAGCCCGTCCGCGCAGCATCCAAATCTATTTTCAAAAGCAACTTAATGATATTTTTGTTAAGTCATTTATCCTATGGTTACAATACTTTGATTAACATACCATATTAATACAGCGAGAGGAAGACCAAGTTTGCTTAATAAAACTACGTAAATATTAATGGATCATGTTGGCCAGAATCAGACAAGCGTGGATCCGAATTCTATGTTCAGTGTTAAGAAAAACAGCAAGAGGTGCCTCTTGCTGCTGCAAATTATTAATATTAATAATATGTTCCGAACATAAGATTTGTGTCCCGAAAAAAAAAAAAACCAACATGAGAGTTTAATTTGTTTGGATGTTCATTCGTTTTTCATCATTTTTTCTTCACTCAATTAATTCCCAGTTTCCCACTACTCCATTATTTCATTACTCTTGTAACTCAATTCTCACCTTTATTTATTAATTTTATTATTCATTACTTATTATTCAACATATAACTCAATGCCTTTATATATATTAACAAGAACATAAGTTTGCCTCTTATTTCTATTCTTTCTTTTCTACATTTATACGGTTTTTTTAAGTTACTTTATTTTAAAACATGAGTAAAATTATTATTTCCTCTTCAGATTTTATAAGGCAGAAAGAAAATATTTTTTGTTTTATTTATGAATAATTTATTAAATTTTTAATATGAATGTACAGTTTATAGCGATGTATAGATTTTTTTTTTGAAGTGATTTTTGCTTAGCTTCAACTATTGGTGTTTGTTTGGCTAAAAAAAGCTATTGGTGTTTGTACTTTTTTTTTTACTGCAATTAATAAAATGGACTCTTGTTTTGGCCTAAAAAAATTATTGACTAAATTGTTATTTTTTTAAAAGTATGCATATTAAATAAGAATAAAGTTAAAAAGTTATTCAATTTTAAAGTAAAGTAATGAGATTTATTAAAAAAATTAGTGAGATTTAAGTTTTTTTCTTAATTATGATAAGACATGCTAAAAGTAACTTACAAATAGAAAGAGAAATTAATTTTTTTGTCCTTCAAATTATAACTTATTTATAACTTAGTTCCTCATTTATAGTTTGGTGTAGCTCCATCCCTATTACATATAACTTATTTTTAATCTCCAAATAATTATCCTACATGAGAAAAAATATTACTTAACACTATTAAATCTGGAAATGCGTCGACTCAGCTCGTGGATGATAAAATATTTGGCAAAAAAAAAAGAAACACCTGGCCTGAATTTCTTGACGGGCCACCCAACTACTATGCAATCGAACTCCTCCGCCATTTTCTCCAGCAGCATCTCCTTCCCCTGCCTCTTCCCCCTCATCAATGGCAAAGTTCTCAACAAACTCTGCCTAAGCAAAAAATAACAGGCAGGAAAAAAAAAAAAACAGTGTGGTGGTCTATTATAATTTTCTAATTTCCTAGGCCTACTCTAGTTGTCGAGACATGCGTACGACGCGGCGGAAGACAGAAGATGAAGACAAAGTGAAGGCAGGAGGCCAGGAGCAAAAGCAATTGGAACTGAGGACGAACCAGAGGGATAGGCGTGAAAGATGATTGTGAAGGGTAGAGGGGGAGGGATTTTTCTTTTTGGGAGGGGATTAGAGCGATTGAAAGGGAGTGTAATGCGTGGAAATGGAATAAGGTTTTTCTCACAAAATCAGGAGCACATTTCATGAGTGTTCATATTAATTTAGACCATCTTGATTTTAGATGTTTCAGATTCAATTTAATTTTTTATGATATGTTTCATACACTTTTTTAATCTGAATTCTCGGAATCAAATTTTGTATGGTCTTTATTTAATTTCTTCACTGATGAGGCTATCCATATTTATTTGGAAACAAAATTTGGGAGCAAATGAGGCGGATTTTACCCCTATTTTTCATTCCTTTTATATTTCCCTTTCTATTCAAATGAAGGGAAAAAAAATCATCTTCGCTCTCAACGTTTTTTCCCATTTTTGTTTTCTCCCATTTTTTTCTCTCCATTCAAATGCAGGTTAAGTAATGACTCCCCCCACTCGTTGGAGTGCATTCCTTAAGCAATTACAATCCGTGATGATTACCTATTAGTAAAGGCAGTTATATCCTCCCAAATAAAGGAACTACGAGGACCAGAAATTTTAATCTTTAGATTCTTACAAATAATTTACCTTTATGAACCTAATTGAGACTTGTCTAATCCAATCATATGACTTGTTGGTTGAGATTCGAAATGAGCTAGAGAGAATCAAATAATAAAGGAGGGATGGCGAACGGGTCCAATAAAAATGTGTTCTTTTATTTTATGTGTCCACAACAGATGGATTAATTAATTGATAAAAAGAAGAAAAAACTCAGATAAGATACTAAACCGGTTAAAATAGTAGTTTAAGGATCAATAGGTCAAATCAAAGTCAACTTAGAATCAAACCGGTTATATTAAAATAACAAAATACAACAACATTAATAATCACTAATAACAAAATACAAAAAAATACAACAATAATTTGATTGTAACAATAACAAAGTAAAATATTATTGAGAATTTTGATCTTTACAATTCTTAATAACTAACATTAATAATCATTGATACAAAAATAAGCATTAAAATTCATTTAATTCTATAATCACTGAGATATTAGGAGCTAAATGAATAAAAATAGGACCAATAGCAATATAATCATTCAGATTGATTCATTACTAGTTCACATCGGTTTTCACTAGTTCCGCCTGTTCGCACCAGTTTGACCGGGTTGATACCGGTTTGACTTCTTACTCATTTAACACTTAGACCGAACCAAATCACTGACCAATTCATTGGTTTGATTGAACCAGTCGGTTCAATATGATGTTTTGTATTATGACTTGCGCAGGATTTTGGATTTGAGGTGCATAAGTGGAGTCGAGAATTGACTGCATTAATAAGATGTATTAATCCCTCATTCAACGTAAACACACCACAATTATTGGTTACTTATTGTGATTAAGGTCGTCAGGTAGGAAGAAAAGACATCAGGGGAACACG